GGAGCCCCCCCCCCGCCCCGGGTCGCCTGCCTCGCTCGCTAACGGCAGGAGCTCCCCAGCACCTTCCCTGCCTCCTGCCTCTCTCCTAGGGTCCCCCCGGCCCCGTCGGCCCCTCTGGCAAAGATGGCTCCAACGGCATGCCCGGCCCCATCGGTCCTCCCGGCCCCCGTGGACGAAGCGGCGAACCAGGTCCTGCGGTGAGTAAAAAGGCCGGCGGTGGGAGGGAAGCGAGGGGGTCCAGCTCGCAGAGCGGCCCATCAGGATTGCATCTTCTTCCTCCCGTAGGGTCCTCCCGGCAACCCAGGTCCCCCCGGTCCTCCCGGGCCCCCGGGCACCGGCATCGACATGTCGGCTTTCGCTGGCCTGGGTCAGGTGGAGAAGGGCCCCGACCCCATCCGCTACATGCGGGCGGACGAGGCCGCCGGCAGCCTGCGGGAACACCACGGCGGTGGACGCCACGCTCAAGTCCCTCAACAACCAGATCGAGAGCATCCGCAGCCCTGAGGGCTCCAAGAAGAACCCGGCCAGGACCTGCCGCGACATCAAGCTTTGCCATCCCGAGTGGAAGAGCGGTAAGAGCCTCCATCCCCGCCTCCTCCCCTCCTGTTCCTCTCCCCCAGCCCCGAGGGGACAGCGAGGTCCACGACGCTCTTCGCTCTCACCTCCAAAACCCTCACGTTCACGCACCGTTTGTCCTCCCCGCTGCAGGAGACTACTGGATTGACCCGAACCAGGGCTGCACCTTGGACGCCATCAAAGTTTTCTGCAACATGGAGACGGGCGAGACCTGCGTCTACCCCAACCCCAGCAGCATCCCCAAGAAGAACTGGTGGACCAGCAAGACCAAAGACAAGAAGCACGTCTGGTTCGCAGAGACCATTACCGGCGGTTTCCACGTAAGCGGCGTCCCCCCCCGCCCCGCCCCGGGCTGGTGCTGCATACGGGGAGCGGGGAAGGGAGGTTGAGCAGGGGAAGGCGTTGGGTGTCTGGTTGGAGGGTTGGGACGTCCTTCCTTGGGGTTATCTTGATGGACGTCATACGGGGTGCGGGGGGGGGACTGGCTGTTCTAGAGGACCGTATTGAAAGCTTGGAGTTGGGTCGGTCGGGCTTTGATTTTTGCAGCCATCTGGGAAGAGAAAGTCTGGAAGCCCCCCCTCAAAAGGCGGCTGGTTGCGATACCCGCAGGCTTTAACGTCTCGCCTCTTCCCTCCAGTTTAGCTACGGCGATGAAGACCTGGCTCCCAACACCGCCAACATCCAGATGACCTTCCTCCGCCTCCTGTCCACCGAAGGCTCCCAGAACGTCACTTACCACTGCAAGAACAGCATCGCCTACATGGACGAGGAGACGGGCAACCTGAAGAAAGCCATCCTCATCCAGGGCTCCAACGACGTGGAGATCAGGGCCGAGGGCAACAGCAGGTTCACCTACAGCGTCTTGGAGGACGGTTGCACGGTAAGTCCACGGGCGCCTGCGAGCGAGAGACGTAGACGACGAGTTGGGGCTTCAACCAACCGAGGTTGCCGTTGGTTTGGAGGGCTCAGGAGCGTCTCATAACGTCTTTTCCCCCCCCCCCCCGGCCTCGTTTTCTCTCCAGAAACACACTGGCAAATGGGGCAAGACGGTCATCGAGTACCGATCGCAGAAGACCTCGCGCCTGCCCATTGTAGATATTGCACCTATGGACATTGGTGGAGCCGATCAGGAGTTTGGCGTGGATATTGGCCCCGTCTGCTTCTTGTAAAAAAGAATTGTTTTATTTGTGTGTTTGTTCGTTCGTTCGTTGTTTGTTGTTGTTGGTTTTGTTTTTGGTTTTGTTTTGGGTTTGTTTTTTTCCCAAGGCCCTTTCCAACCGCTCGTACGACTTCTGCACTGAACGGCTGCAACGACCCCCCACCCCCCCCCCACGCTCCCCCCCTCCCCGTGGGGCACCCCCCGCCTCTTTCCAAGGCCGG